ATCATTGACCTAAATTAAAAAGTTAAAATCATGAATTCTTTGTGGCCTTGGGTCTGGCAAATAATATTTTTTTTTGACCTAATACTAAAAGCACAATCCATAGAGGAAAAATTGATAAACTGAATTTTAACAAAACGTGAAATTTTCATGCTGTGAAAAACAATGTATAGAGAACAAAAAGACAAGCCATGTATTGGGAGAAAATATTTGCAAAGCACTAGCCGATAAAGGACTTGTAAATAGGGCCATTGCCTTGCTAGACTCTGGTGTGGCCATGTGCTCTTTGAGCTATGACTGTGCCATGCTTCCTGGCTTTGGTTCCCCTCCCCTACCTTGGAGAGGTGAATTCTCTCTCTCTCTCTCTCTCTCTCTCTCTCTCTCTCTCTCTCTCTCTCTCTTTCTCTCTCTCTCTCTCTCTTTCTCCCTCCCTCCCTCTAGTTTACTTTTAAATAAGCTATATTTGATAATCTAATGTCTGTGCAATTCTTTGCATCTTTCATGCAGCACCAGATCACACCCCAGACACCCAAACCCTCAGTGGGCCTGACCTGACATTCAGGAGGCCCCGCTGGGAGAGTGTGACCCTAGCATAGACACTTAATAAATACTTACTGAGTAAATGGCAGAACTAAGATATGTCTTTTATTAATAAATATTAATTTTATTATTAAAAGGAGAAAGATTTCAGACTGAAAAAAAATGAAAAGCTATGCTATGTATGAGACATACTTAAAAATACTAAAAATATTCTTAAAATCTGATTTTAAAATGTAAATATCTGGGCACCGTGGTTCACGCCTGTAATCTCAGCACTTTGGGAGGTGGAGGCAAGAGGTTTGCCTGACCCTAGAGATTTGAGATCAGCCTGGACAACTTGATGAGAACTACAAAATAAAAAATAAAAATAAAAATGAAGAACTTGTAAATAGAATATAGAAAAAATTTTAAACTTAACAATAAGCAAACAACTCATTTTTCCTTTAAAGAAGCAAAATTCTGAATAAACAAATAAGGCATACTGATGGCCAACAAGCATATGAACAGATGCTCAACATCACTAGTCACTAAATAAATGCAAGTTAAAATCACAATGAAATGTTACTACAGGATTTTTAATAACTAAAATTTTTTTAATGTATTGATTATACCAAGTGCTGGTAAAATGTAGTGCAACTAATACGCTCATGTATTGCTAGTGGCAATGAAAAATAGTACCTCTCTGGAAAATAGATAGGCAGTTTTTTTTGTAAATTTAAATGCGCAGATATTGATTTTGAAATACCAGTCTCCAATAAAAGAATCAAGACTTCTTAGATAAATAGCTAATTTTATGGTTGGAGCATAAAATAATATAAGTCTGGAACAGTCCACGATGTCAGAAAGTAAGAAAGTGCTTAAGGAAAAAAAAGGAGGCATGTCTAAAAGATACAAGAGATAAAAGTGTTCTCAACTGTCAAAAGCTTGAATAATTTGAGAAAAAAAAACAGTCGTATTGGAGTGTGACAGAAAGAATAAATTATAAAAAATAAATCCATGAGTATATACTAACACAAATAAATGTTTGATTAAATAAATGGTTCAGGGCATTCAGTTTCCCTCCCCGTGTGGGAGCTTTTCTGCCCTCTCAATAAATCCTGCTTTATAAATAAACAAATAAATACAAAAATGGTACAGAAGAAACAATTCTTTCTTAAAGAAAAACACCATAGTAATATAATTGTTGCAGGCAACATTCACTGCTAATACTTAAATCAGTGAACAGAGTTTGAGGAAAAGCAAGGTATTTGTATAGCTTCAAAGCATCCCTTCCAGAATATTACTGTGGTGGTTTTAAAATATACCACAATTTTTTTGCAATTTTTTCCTGCTTAATTCACCTCCTTTTGAGTGTGAGCCAAACTTATGACTCACTTCTAATAGAGTATGAAGAGAAAAAAAGAGTAACTTGATGGTGAAGACACTTGGCAAACGCTATCTCAACTAAGTGATCATGTTAACATCACTAGTAATAAGATATTGACATCATGTGTCCCTGCGATGAGAGGGCACATCATCTTTGTGACACCCTTCACCCAAATCCATAACACAAGTCTAATTATGAGAAAACATATGACAACCCCAAACCAAGGAATACTCTACAAAATACCTGAGCAGGACTGTAAAACTTTTTAGGAATCTGTTAAAGACTGGAGGTGATGAAGGAAAGTTATGATAAAATATGACATGGTATCCTGAAATGGATCTTGAGATAGAAAAAGGACATTAATGAAAAAACTGAAAACGTACAAATAAAGCCAGATGGTCAGCCAACAGTATTGTAACAATGCTAATTTCTTAGCTATGATCATTGTACCATAGTTAATGTAAGATGATAGCATTAGGAGAAGTTGGGTGAAAAGCTAATGGGAATTCTCTGTGCTATTTTTATAACTCATCTCTATGTTAAAAATTATTTCAGAATAATAAGTTAAAAATATAATCAAACAAACTGGACTTTAAAAAACTAGTTCCTACATCTGTAATGGATTCGTTTTCTTCGTGAGCTTTTCTTGGTTAGAAATACACTTGAATATATTCAAAATGTACTTTAAAAGTTAGATGTGCAATTTAGGAATTGGTCCAACTGTTTTACTTTAAGAAGATCATCTCTTCACCTAGAATGGTTATTTCATCCACCTCAGACTGTCCCTGAGAATTTCTGTCAAAAATAATCCTCTATCCATTGCAGGAAGAAACTTTGTGAATAAGCAGAGCCTCTTCTGAAATGCCTTTGTTGATGTCCATGGTCCCTGCTTCTTCCTCCTGCCTCTGCAGCACCCCACACTGTGAAGCCCAGACCCCATCCAGAGGTCTGCCTCATCCTGTTACTCTGTTTCTGCATCCCTTCCTCTGTCATCTCTGTCACCCACCAGTGTTTCTTGCACAGATGTTTTCCACAGTCTGCTTGTGTTTTCATTCCGGCTTGCTGTTTATTTTCCCACACTCAATTTAGGCATAGGATTTGCAGAAATTCAAATTTGAGGGAAGACAGAACTGCCATTTTTACTCATGCCTCTCATTATAAAAAGCTTCTCTGAGCTGAAGGTCTTCAGTAAGGTCATTCATTAATCCAGCAAGTATCTATGTACTGCCCTCTGGTGTCAGCCATTGACCTAGGAGTGGAATACGGTGATGAACAAAATAAAAATGAGGAGAAAGATATCAGCCTCTTAAGGGATCATGTCCCATTTCCCCTCACAGTCTTGGGAGCCTGGATCAGCAGAGAGGGGGGAAACCAGTGATAAGAGAAAGCCTTTTTAAAGCCAGAGGAATTGAGATACTCCATGCCTACTTGTACAAATGGGTGGAAACAACAAGAAAATAGCCATGGTCTACTACACTGTGTTCAAGGGAAATACTTAGAGCTCGGGAATAGGGATTTTTAAATGAGATGGTAAAATTTACTACAACTTGTTTAAAATAGTTAATCAAGCCCCCCTAAAAAACTTTATAACTTTTTGCCTTGTTTAAAAAAAGCTTTAAGAAAAATCAAAGGTTATTAAGATTTTCTGAGACATCTCACTTACTAACCTTCTCAGCACAGAATTATTCCATTACCATTATTTTACAGTTATATACATTCACAAAAGTTAATTTTCTCTGAAATAAAAAGACTATTTTATCATTGTGTGTTCTATGCTTACATTTTAAAATCAGAAACAACTTCACTTTCCCAAAATAAAAGTGATTCTTTTGGGGGGTAATCTTCTATTGTTTTAATATTCTAAAATTCGATGGATTGTGGCATTGTTTTTACTCTAAAATCGGTTAGCTTACCCCATAAGAAACTGGGTCACTTTTCCTTCCATGCTTATTTTCCTGGTGTTTTGTTTAAAATAAAAGGTAAGTGTGTGTGAGTGAGTGTGTGTGTGATCATTTATGCCTAATTAAACTTAGTACTTCTCAAGTAATTTATTTTGCAAGATCTTATTTCTTAAAAATTAGTGTCTTTTGGTTTTATTATGGTAAGGATATCATGAAAGCCTATCCGGAAAAAATTGTTACAGTCAATTCAAACCTGCATTTAGTCTTTGGCAAGCAAAAGAATCCATAGGTCTAGGCAGCATAACATAATAAGTAAGAACATAGCCTCTGAGGCCACTTTCTAGCTGTGTGACCTTGGCCAAGTTAATGACTACCATCTACCTCAGTTTTCTCATGCATGAAATGGAGATAATAAAAGTACGTCTCGAGCCGGGCTTGGTGGCTCAGCCTGTAATCCCGCGCCTTTGGGAGGCTGAGGTGAGTGGATTGCCTGAGCCCGCGGGTTCGAGACCCGCCTGGGCAGCGAGACCTCATCTCTACAATAAATCAAAAAAAAAATCAGCCGGGCGTTGTGGCGCATGCCTGTAGTTCCAGCTACTCGGAAGGCTGAGGTGGAAGTATCACCAGAGCCCAGCAGGTCGAGGCTGTGGTGGCCGGGAGTGGCCACTGCACTCCAGTCTGGGCGACAGAGTGAGACTCCAACTCAAAAAAATAAAAAAATAAAAGTACGTCTCATAAGGTTATTGTGAGACTTAAATATGGTAATGTATATATAAGTTGTCTGAACATTGCATAGAATAAAATTAGAAATATATATGTGTGTTTGTGTATATAGCAGTTATTATTTTCTATCATTTTCTGAGTTCACAAGTGAAACTAAGTTAAATGGTGATTCGGTGGGTCAATGTTCACATTAACTGAAACTACCAAAGAACACGACCCTAAATACTATGTTAGTAGCTTATAAAGGAGAGTCTGCTCAAGTATTTCCCTGGGTCCCCTAACTAAACTAACACCAAAAAGACCAAAATAGGGAGAGGATTAGAAACCAAATCCCTCCATCATTTGCATCTTCAGATTTAGAGCCAACAATTCTGAGACAAACAAATGGAGAGAATTTGGAAATGATGCATCAATTGCTTCCTCCTATGAAATGAAGAGTGGGAGTCATCAAGGGTCTGACCATCAAATGCCAGGAGACATTTTCCTCCAGACACCAAAGAGGAGCAACAACTCAGGATGACTGAAATCTGCAATCCCTCAGAAAATGAATTGTCACCATTTCTCATTGCCTTAATTTTAATAGTTACAGGTACTGAATTCATCATTGGTTTTGTTGCAAACGGATTCATCACGGCTATAAATGCAGCTGAATGGGTTTGGAATAATTCAGTTTCCACAAGTGACAGGATCCTGTTTTTCCTGAGTGTATCCAGAATAGCTCTCCAAAGCTTCGTGGTGGTAGAAATTACATTCAGCACAACAACCCTAAATTTTTATAATAAAGAGGCTTTATATGATGCATTTAAAATAATTTTCATGTTCTTAAATTTGTGTAGCCTGTGGTTTGCTGCCTGGCTCAGTTTCTTCTACTTTGTGAAGATTGCCAATTTCTCCTACCCCTTTTCCTCAAGTTGAGGTGGAGAATTTCTGAATTGATGCCCTGTCTTCTGTGGCTATCAGTGTTGATTTCCCTCAGCCACAGCCTGCTCTCCTGCATAGACATCTACACTCTGTACTGTAACGATTCCTCCCCTGTTCCCTCCTCCAACTTCACTAAGAAAAAAATACTTCTCTGAGACTAATGTGGTCAACCTGGCTATTTTCTATAACCTGGGGATTGTCATTCCTCTGATCATGTTCATCCTGGCAGCCACCCTGCTGATACTATCCCTCAAGAAACACATCCTACATATGGAAAGCAATGCCACGGGCTCCAGTGATCCCAGCATGGAAGCTCACATGGGGGCCATCAAAGCCATCAGCTACTTTCTTCGTCTCTACATTTTTAATGCAGTTCTCTATTTATCTATTTCTCCAACATCTTTGCTGTCTACAGTTTCTGGGATATTTTGTGCAAAATCATAATGGCTGCCTACCCTGCAGGCCACTCAGCTCTACTGATTCAGGACAACCCTGGGCTGAGAAGAGCCTGGAAGCAACTTCGGCCTCGTGTTCATCTTTATCCAAAAGACTAGACCCTGTGACTAGCGTCCATAGGACCTGGCCTAACCAGCTCTACCATTTCCTCACCTAGACCTCTCTCTTTCTTTCCTCTTTTTTTCCCCAACCCTGATCTGACCCTGAGGTGGCTTTTTGTATAAGAGTTTGATCTTTACTTCCCTTTGGCTTCATGGGCACAATCTTAGTGTGTTTGTCATATTCTTTACCTGAACCCTCTATTTCTACCTCTCCTTGCTTTATCTAAAGCAGTGATTCTAGGCACTGCCTACACATTAGAATCTCTATGGTTGATTTTCGAAAATACCAATGTCCAGGTCTAACTTCAGATCCATTAAGTCAAAATTTCTAATGGTGGAACTTAGACAATCTTACAAGTCCTCCAGGTGATTCTGATATGTAGCTGGGTTAATATAGCCACCAAAATAAAAGAAGGTTCTGAAACTTGAGTTCTGACAATTTGTCTCTTTCCCCCTTCACATGCAGCTGGGAATGCACTTTGTCACCAAAGACATAATCTAAATAATTTGGGACTATCAATCAAAATTATCAGTGCACAAAACATCTTTGAACCTAAAAATCACTGTCTATGAATTTTTTCTATAGGTATGGCTAGATAGATATAGATATATGCAAGAGGATCTTCATCACAGTATTGTCTATTAATGAGGGAACTTGAATATCTGAAATGAGAATTATGCTAACATTTTTAAAAAATGAGATAAATGCATGTAGCTTGAGATGAGATGATTTCCAATATATCATTAAGTGCAAAAACCAAAAAGCTTTTTTATTTCACTTGTATTTTTTATGGAATATACATATATTTGTGTGTATATATATGCATGCACAAAGTTTCTAGAAGAAAGCACCAAAAACTATTAGCAGAGGACTTGTGAGTAGTGGCATTGGGTATCAGAATAAATGAAATATTTATACTTTATTTTATACCTTTCTGCATTGTTTAAACTATTTAGAGCATGTATGGACTAATTTCAAAATTTTTAAGGATTTATTTATTTTTATTAGAAGAGAATTGGTAAGTAGAAATGGTTTGAGGGAGGGGAATGTTCATCTTAATTTATTGATTGAGTCTTTAATAAAAACTCTTCGTTTTTATTAAAAATCCAAACCTCCAAAATCACAAATTAAGCATCTAATTCTCCTGTCACTGCCTCTTATTTTTCCACGTTATTTGCTCAAGAGCTGCCATGAAACCATCACAGACTTTTGATTCATTGACACCTCTATATTCTCTGTCCCTCTATTAGGTCTCTCTTCATTTCCTTTTGTATTCAGTTTGTATTACTGGTCAAATTGCTGATCTCACAAAAATATTTTCAGTATTAACAAATAAAATTAACTGTGTCTGTGATTTGCTTTGAAATATTCCAGCAGAGAACAAACAAGTGGAGATTGGGTGGTATGGATTATGCCTCTGTTAATGATTTTTTCAAACAAGGTTTCAGGTATGTGGAATTCTTCATACTATTTTTTTCCTATTTCAGGATTTATTTGAAAATTTCCCTAATATAATTTTTACATAAATGAATCATACAATACTCTAACTTCTTGACCTTTGTAAATATGGAATAATCCCACACTTAAATGAACCTGACTACTTAACACTCTGTGTTTGTTTCTAAGCAGCTGAGTGTTACTCAGGAGTATTTCATAATTGGATAAACTTACATTCCTGCAAATTTATGCTTTTCAGCCTCAAATGAGCAATGTCCATTCTGTATTTTTCTTTTTTTTTTTTTTTTTTTTTTGAGTTGGAGTCTCACTCTGTAGCCCAGACTGGAGTGCAAGTAGCCGGAATTACAGGCACGCACTACCACGCCCAGCTGATTTTTTTTTTTTGATTTATCGTAGAGATGAGGTCTCGCTGCCCAGGTGGGTCTCGAACCCGCGGGCTCAGGCAATCCACTCACCTCAGCCTCCCAAAGGCACGGGATTACAGGCTGAGCCACCGAGCCTGGCTCATCCTGTAGTTTTCTAAAAAAGTCACTCATTAACCCCCTAAAATGATTATCACATTTTGTCCTCAGTCCCCAAGCCTTCAATTTCTCTTCTCTGTCTTATTTCAATTGATAAAGTTGCCCCTAAAATCTTTGACAGATACCATTTAAAAGATATTCCTTTATCTTCCTATTAATTAGCAAGTCTGTTAAACCACCAATTGTTGCCTACATCCCCAATATTTCACTAGAAAGAGGGGCACTTGATGAAAAGAAATAATTAGACATGTTTTAACTATTTTTCTCCTCCCTCTATACTTCTTCCTCTGTGTTCCATTTTTCTGTGAGTTTTAGTATTGTTTTTGTTTTTTTCTTTCTTGATTGAGTCTTTTCTTAAATGTCTGGTGATCCTTGAATGACAACACAATGAAGATAATTGCAAAATTTAAATATTATTTTTAAAAACATTTTTAAATATAAAAATTATATTGAAACTTCTATTTGAGATGCAGCTCAAAAGTAGCACGTTCAAAGCTGGATTTTTAATTTCCCCCCAAAACAAATGTCTCCTTCAGTTTCCTTCAACTTGTTAAATAGTACCAGAATATTTTCAACTACCTTCCTCATGCAATTCATCAGTAAGTCTCCTGTTTCTGTTTTATGATGTATATACTTAGAAAATTATTCATTTATTAATTTAATAATTATTGGTTGAACATCAACTATATGGTAGATTCCATTCTAGGTGCTATGTGAACAACAAGGCGGTCATCATCACAAAAGTTCTAGTCTAGTGAGAAAGCACAGATAATGAAACCTAGGATAAATAGGACATGGTAGTGGTGATGTTAGCTCAACCTAGTCATGAAAGCCTAGATGAGTAAGAGTTTTAAAAGAATAATTTTAAATATTATAAATCTGGTTAGGTGTGGTGTGTCACCCCTATAATCCCAGCACTCTGGGAGGTCAAAGTGGGAGAATCATGTAAAGACAGGAATTTGAGACCAGCCTGAGCAACATAGCGAGAACTTGTCTCTAACAAAAAAAAAAAAAGAAAAAAATTTAAAAGTTAGCTGAGATGGTGGCACGCACCTATAGTCACAGCTATTTGGAAAGTTGAGGCTGGAGGATCACTTGAGCCTGCAGCTCAAGGCTACAGTGAGCTTTGGTCTTCAAGAGAACCTAGTTTCTAAAATTACTGAGGGCATTTGCTATCAAAACACAGAATCACAGATGACTAAAATTAAGCCATTCATTTAGCTACAATGATCATTGAAAAATTTTAAAAAGTAAAGACTTTCATTCTTTGATAAAAAAGACTCATTTTCTTAAACAATAAGAACTAAGGAAGATAGCATAAGGACAACTGAATTTGTCTCACTTTCCCTTTCGAAAAACAGCATAAGGGCAACTAGATCTGTCTCTCACCTATATTTTTTGTTTGTTTATTTACTTGGAAAATAAACAGAAATCTTTCTGAAATGACAAAATACCAAAATAAAGTAAGCTTTGTTAAAGTGCAGCCATTACAACACTGCTTAGCTCTGTCATGCTTTCTTGGCAAATTGCTTAGCTTGCCCTCTAATCATTAGCCAGGGAACATTAGCCAGAACTGGCTTCTCAGATGTAGCTATTAGTACAATACAACCCTTCGGGTACTGATTACTTTTCTATTCCAAGTATTTTTCTTCCAGCCATAAAGCAGCCCTTCATGAACTATATGACACAAACAGACCCCATCACCATAATGACAGTTCCTGTGCTACCTGCTCCCTTAATAATGATGTAAAACAGACCACCACCCAATCACCTTAATGACCTATTCACACCAAAACTAACCATTTAGTTTTAACCATTACTTTCCATAGCTATTGAAAAAAACTCAAAAAACTCTAAACTAGACAAATTACTTCCCCTTTAGCAAAAATCATATTCCCATGTCTTCTTATAATGTTTTATCTTATGATGTTCTGCCAATTCACCTTATTTTCCTTATACTTTTTGCATGCAGAATTGCTTTTCTTACATCTGGCAGCCTTAATTGCATATATCAATTATAATGTTAATTCTTAGTGACTCTTATTTTTGGTGATAAAACCCAGGAGGCAAGCAATTCTAATTATGTACTAGATGCACAGTCCAGGACAAAGAACAATGCCTTGGGCTAGGCCTTGTATCTTGAAGACTTAAATCTAAAGATTTAAGTTTACAGGCCGCATATGTGTGAAAAGTATTACAGAAGCAAAGTTTTATATTTTACCTGACTAATAGATCAATAGACTGAGACAAAAAGGTCCAAATTAAATTCTGAAGACATTTGCATATCTATTTTGCCAACTTTGAAGCTGTATTTACTTACTAAGATTACTAAAGTCATGTAGATGAAAGACATGAGCTAAGAGTTTCTGATAAAACATGTTATGTGCTTACTTTTCTTTAAGTCAATTACATAGAATTTTTTCATCTATTTTGGTAGTGTGACATTACATACATATAACATGCATACAGACCCACAGACAGCAGAATTTATAGATCTATAAGATTTTTTTTTTTTTGGCCAGTTTTATAACCGCTCTTCTTTTCCATTTCAGTTATTCATCTTTTTCAATTAACTGTTTTGTTGCTTTAGGCAACCTTAAATTTACACTTCTAAAGAGACAATTCTTAAGTGAAAACACATTAAAGAATTTATATTTTAAAACACAGAGTTAAAACATCAGACCTGAATTTTGCTAAAACAGAACAACAACAGAAACAGTGTTAAGTAAATGTTCCATTTGGTTAGGAAAAAGCACTTTAAACAAATGTATGACTTTGGAATATAAAACAGGCAGATACTCTTACAACGTATGAATTTAAAACAGGCAGACAACCTTACAGAGATTTTCTTAAAGATACACGTTTCTTTTACAAAAAGGTTTAGCCAGCTATATGCCAGAAAGTAATATTTTTGGCTTCCTGGTGAAGCAACCCCTTTAAGGAAGGAGAGTGAGATCAAGAAAGCATGAAGACTTTAGACAAGCCCTAAACACCAGGAAATAACTAATAACCATTCTTTGTAAACAACTG